ACCCTTTTGAAACTGTTTACCAGTAACAATTAACAACCCTTTTGAAACTGTTTACCAGTAACAATTAACAACCCTTTTGAAACTATTTACAGCAACAATTAACAACCCTTTTGAAACTATTTACCAGCAACAATTAATCAAATGTCTAATTTATACTGAATCGATACAGCTCAAAACCTTAGAACATTCGTATATATAATCAGCGTTATAAGTCCGGACTTACGCTGAGCTACCCATTATCCAACAATAACAAAGATATTTTGTGATAACATTTGGAGTTTGGCTCAAGATGCAATAACTTACGTATTGTGTTTGTTTTCACGTGAAATCTCGATATTAGCTGTAGGCAACATGTTTGGATCATTCTGTTTAATATGAGCTAGATCCAGTTCAGCATTGTTTGTCATATTCTGAACTGGAGCTAGCTTATATTAAACAGAAATGATCCAAACCTGGTTTTTTACATACTTTATGAGAACCCAACCTAAAATCTAAACGTCCTCTCATAGACGTTATACGTATGATACATAAGTATTTATTTATAAATCTGGTAATACTAATAGTACATGCTATTTTGTACGTCTTGAACTTCTTTGATTTGGCTTTGAATCTATATGTTGAAAGCTAGTGTTATCAACATGGAAGTTGCTTATGTCATACTGTAATGGAAGCTGCTTATGCCATATTGTAATGGAAGCTGCTTATGCCATACTGTAATGGAAGCTGCTTATATCATACTGTAATGGAAGCTGCTTATGCCATATTGTAATGGAAGCTGCTTATGCCACATTGTAATGGAAGCTGCTTATGCCATACTTTAATGGAAGCTGCTTATATCATACTGTAATGGAAGCTGCTTATGCCATACTGTAATGGAAGCTGCTTATATCATACTGTAATACGCAACAGCAGGTCGTAGTTTATTGTCTTCTCTTATGTAACTGTTTCGTGGTATATTTTAACGAACTAATTAAAACATATATACATTCAGAATGTGAAAAATATTACAAGGTACATGAATAATGTTGATCTAAAGATGTATGCCACAAAATAATACTATCAAACAGCATGTACTTATATATGTAAATACGTCATTATATTACTTTTTATGAAAGTAAAAATAAAGCTTTAATAGCAGCAAATGAAGTAGTAGCCTGCAGGAAAGTACTGGCTGTTCCCTTTTTAAATAAATCACTAACTCTACGGTATAAGTCTTACGCAGATAAACCAAACGTACATGTCTACATGCTTATTAGTGATATGACAAACTCCAGCAGTTAAACACAAAGAACTAATTCACACAACAATACCAAGAATTCGACAAGGATCACATGTAAAATAGTAAAGCATGAAAACAGTTGATTTAACAAGCTATAACATACGCAAGTTATACGATTAGCAACATAGCCGTCTTAAAAGTTGTTTGATCAGACATCAAATATTCTATGGTGATTTTTTTTTCTTTAGTTTATAACATGCTTCTTTCTTCCGTCTGGTGATAACCACTAGATGTACAGTGAGAAGGTGAATTGTAGAATTTTTTCAGTTATGGGTTTCATTTTTGTTTTGCTAGCTCTAACGCTGCCTCTCTTATCTCCTTCTCCGGGACTCTGCGGAATAGAATACATGATAACTCTAGAAGTTTCTGTGATATAATAAATTCACGTAGCAAATAAAAAAAAAAAGAGGGTGCCTTACAGAAGTGAAAAAAAAACACTCTTATTATGTTTACTGCACGAAACAGTAATTAAATAAAAAAGTTTCAGTAATCCGAACTATTGATTTATCACATTCTTCACTGCTGGATCCTAAACATTCGTCAAGCATATAGCTGGTAAACCTAATTTTGGTCTACATAGAAATACTTAAGAGTAATTTATCATAATACATCAGCAATTTGAAAAGGGCACGTGACAAATAATTTATCACTGATTGGTCGATTTTGTTTTTGAAACTATGCGGTGTAAAATGAATAAAAGATGTAACGTAACATAATGATTGTTCTTCATGCAACGCGGTATTTGAATTTGAATTTACTGGAATGAAGTCACGTGACAGGATAAGCAGCTATTTAGCAGCAGAATGAGTAAATTTATGTGAAATTCACTGTCTTTGATGAAGAGGCTAGAACGGTCACGTGGCAGTTATATATAAATTATTTTATACGTTTACTTGAATGCCCTCGTAATACATGTGCAAGACCAATTGGAATCAGTTATGTGGCACGCTTATAGATATATCACTGTATGCCGTATTCAGTTTAGACATTAATAAAAAAAAACTTTCTAACAATTTCTAGTATTTCCCTATCAACACCTGTGTAGTGAGTGTATCAACAAGGGCAGAAGAAGATCATGCTACTGGACTGCCATGCGGGAAACGGACTTACTTAAATTTACTCAGTGTTGCACGCATTATGAAAATATGTTGGAAAAATATTTTCTTTGAATTTCTCTTCTCTTTTTTTTTTCAGAATTTAATTTTTAGGTGGTCTTGTTTTCTTATTGTTGATCTGTTTTGAAGAAATGTCACTGGCTTTTTGTATTGTATTTCAAAGAAGCGTTTTTATAATTTGTTTTAATTTCGCGCAAAGCTACACGAGGGCCGTCCCTAATTTAGCAGTAACATACTAAAGGGAAAGCAGCTAGTCATCACTACCCACCGCCAACTCTTGGGATACTCTTTTACCAACACATAGTGGGATCGACCGTCAAATTATATCGCCCCCACGGCTGAAAGAGCGATCATGTTTGGTATGATGGGGATTCGAACCCGCGACCCTCAGATTGCGACTGAATCACCCTAGCTACCTGACAATGCCGGGCCGACGTTTTTATATCTTATACCTGAAAGTCCTGAGGATTCGTTATGATCTGATGATTTGGGTGTGAAAGTCTTGAAAAAGGATCACTATCGGTTAAATTAGAGGTGAGAGTCTTGAATAAGTATTATAATCTGTTGAATTGAGTGTGAAAGTTCTGAAGAATTGTTATGATCTGTTGATCTGGGTGTGAAAATTCTGAAAAATTGCTATAAACTGTTTATTTACGCGTGAAAACGTTGTAAACGTTTCGTAATGTGTGAAAGTTGGGTAAAAGTTTAATAACCTGTTGATATATATACATGAAATGTCCTCGTACAGTGAGTGACTTGTATTTGGAAGTGATGAATTAGTCAGCTTCATACACTTTTATCAGATCATACTCATGTTTCCTAAATGCCCGAGTAAAGAATGTTGCTCTTAATTCCAATCAATTAATTTTCTTCTCTCACTACATCGTATATAATGTTGTATATTAGTTATTTATCCCGAAAGGTTTATATTACATTGAAACACGATTCCAGGAAGCTAATACATAGCATTCATAGCTATTTAATTTCATACATCGTTACGTCTAAAAATATATAGTTTGTTTATATCAGGACAAGCCCCCCAGTGGCACAGCGGTTTCGATACCCGTGGTGGGCAGAGCACAGATAGCCCTTGTGTAGCTTTGTGCATAATTAAAAACAAACAATATCACGACAAATTTACACAACAAGCTACCTGTATTTTGTCCAACGCAGGGATCGAACCCCGATTATAGCGTTTGAAGTTTTCAGACTTACCACTGAGCTACCGGGGTGGGTGGAGTGTTTTAAGTTATATTTCCTGAGAGCTTACGTAAAGTCACATTTTCCTTGATAGTATCTTAACCGAGCTATGACACAAAATTTACAGACTTTAATTAAGTATATACTCCGTTAATAGATTATACAGAGTCTTTACTATTAAAACGTAAAGAGAAAAAAATGTGAGAGACAGATATACCTAATACAGACACGATCGAAGCATGTAACCTGTACACTAGAGACAACTATACCTCTTATATTAACGGGATTTAGAGCAGACTGCACGTGAGCGTCACTTGCTGAGTGCACGTGAAACATCTGTATACCCGTAGCACCACCTGCTGATTCTTTATAATCAACAAAACTCTATCAAGTTTCGTAATTATTTATACGACTTTTATTTTTTAATTTGGATATTTCTATTATGTTTTATTTCTGCTACGAGATATTACTGATTAATGAATTTAATAAATAAAAATGAAATATAAAGTTTATTTTCAATTGATTTTTAATATTCACGTTAAAAATCAATATTAAATAATAATCCTTGGCTACTTTGCATCTCGTCAACTCATTTGGATCGATAAGTTTGTTTTGAATTTCGCGCAAAGCTACACGCGCGATATCTGCGCTAGCCGTTCCTAATTTAGCAGTGTAAGACTAGAGGGAAGGCAACTAGTCATCACCACCCTCCGCCAACTCTTGGGCTACTCTTTTACCAACTAATAGTGGGATTGACCGTCACATAATAACGCCCCCATGGCTGAAAGGGCGAACATGTTTAGTGTGACGAGGATTCGAACCCGCAGATTGCAAGTTGAGCGCCCTAACCACCTGACCATGCCGGGCCTGATCGATAAGAGATTCTGAAACTTAAGTTACTTGTTAGTCAACTCGTATTGATGATGCTGTGTTTGTTCGCTTGTTGGAGAGCAAAGCCACATTGTGCTATCTGCTGTCTTCACCGTGGGGAATCAAACCCCGTATTTTAGCGTTGTAATTTCGTAAACTTACCACTGACCCACCGAGGAACTGGTCTATATGAAGCAACAGAATATTTCGTGAATACGATTAGAAACGTTTTCTTTGCTTTAATAGTCGTATACTGAAATTAACTTTGTATTGCTCAAAACTTGAATGTTTCTCAAATTAATGACTTCATGCTATTTAACCAGTATGACAGTCACTTAACATTAGGAGTTAAAGATAAAAATAATAATTTACAGAAATACTGCGCTATGTACACGATTTTGGAATTTCTGTCTAAATAAAATTTAATATATTTTAATGATTTGTTGATTCGAAGTTCGAACTAAAACGAAAACCAATATATTTTATCCTTGTCAGTGTAAGCTATTAATTTCAAGTTTATTTCAACACCCAATTTAGCAACTTTATTTGTTTCAAAAATTAATTAATAATTTTTTTCAATTTTATTTTAACACCTAACTTAGCAACTTTATTTATGTTACAAAAATTAATTAATAATTCTTAAAGTTTATTTTAACATTGAACTTAGCAGTCTTAGTTATGTTACAAAAATTGATTTATAATTTTTCAAGTTTATTTTAACACTGAACTTAGCAGTCTTAGTTATGTCACAAAAATTAATTTATAATTTTTCAAGTTTATTTTAACATTGAACTTAGCAGTCTTCGTTATGTAACAAAAATAAATTTATAATTCTTCAAGTTTATTTTAACACTGAACTTAGCAGTCTTAGTTATGTTACAAAAATTAACTTATAATTCTTAAAGTTTATTTTAACATTCAACTTTGCAACCTTAGTTATGTTACAAAAATTAATTAATAATTTTTCAAGTTTATTTTAACACTGAACTTAGCAGTCTTAGTTATGTTACAAAAATTAATTTATAATTCTTCAAGTTTATTTTAACACTGAACTTAGCAGTCTTAGTTATGTTACATAAATTAATTTATAATTCTTAAAGTTTATTTTAACATTCAACTTAGCAACCTTAGTTATGTTACAAAACTATCTTATAATTTTCTTGAATCTTATACTGCTTTATTTCTTAAAAACACAAATAAGAAAACCTTACGAGTGTATCATTAGAAAAATACACGGAGTCAGCACTAAACAAATTGCCAGAACAGGACTTTTTTTCTTTTAGTTTAGGAGATATGGTAACATTATTAGTAAAACGAGCTCTGTACACGAATTATCGACACCTGAGACTCAAAATGTTCTTTTATGTTTTGAATATTCGATTTTTGGATTAGTTTTTCACATTGACTTTGCCAGTGGCCTTCACTTACCTCATAAATCCACTGACTACCCTAGGAAAACTTGGTTTAGTAAAGTACTTTGTTTTCAACAAGGACCTAATATAATAAGATGTTTTTTTTTCATTTTTATTACAGTTTTTAAGCTACTATTGTAAATAGTTTATTTAGTTGTTCTTAAGGCATTAATGTACGAAAACTCACTCTCTATTATTCTTTTTTATATCATTGAGTTATCTAATCTCAAACTGTGACGTTAAACAAAAAGTAGCAATAGTACAAAGAAAGGTGATAATATTAACTCATAATTCTGAGACGGATAAGATTGGTAACGTAAAAGAAAATTAGTTAATGGAATGGGGGAAAAAATTTATATACGAAATAACAGGCTTTTGTGCTTATATGTTTTATGTTTGAAAATAGAAGGAAAATTTGTTTGTTATTAAGCACAAACTAAATACAGAGGGCTATTTATGCTCTGCCCACCACGGGTATCGAAACTTGGATTCTAGGGGTATAAGTCGGAAGACATACCGCTGTGCCACTGGGTGCAGAGGAAAGGATGTTGACACTAATGCATATTAACTATTAATATAAAAATGTGTGAAACATTCATTTAGAAGAGACAAAAACATGCAGAAAGTGGAAAAAAATATTTGATTTGTTGTCCAATGGCCATAGGATCCCGGTCAAGCCCAAAGGCCATAGGATTCCGTTAAAGTCCAATGGCCATAGGATCCCGGTAAAGTCCAATGGCCATAAGATTCCGTTAAAGTCTAATGGCCATAGGATCTCGGTAAAGCCCAATGACCATAGGATTCTGTTAAAGTCCAATGGCCATAGGATCCTGGTAAAGCCCAATGACCATAAGATTCCGTTAATGTCCAATAGTCATAGGATCCCGGTAAAGCCCAATGACCATAGGATTCTGTTAAAGTTCAATGGCCATAGGATTCCGTTAAAGTCCAATGGCCATAGGATCTCAGTAAAGCCAATGGCTATAGAATTACGGTGAAGCTCAGTGGCCATAAGATCCCAGTAAGCCCAATGGACCATAGGATCCCAGTAAAGC